GTATCTGTGTACCTGTGTACCTGTGTACCTGTCTACCATCTTACTATCATATTATAACCAAGATATTGCCATTGTTATTTTTTACTTATTATTCTTTTGGTACTTTAATTTGTGAATTTTATTTTGTCAATTTAAATCTAGTTATACTCTTGATCTTGTCAACAACCTATACCAGACTCTAGTGCAATTGCAAGTACCATTTCAATTTGTATTTTTATATTATAAGTTTATATTATAAGTCCTATTCCAAGATTGTTTTCATATCTTAGTGACTATATTGTGTGTGCAATTAGTGTATATTTCAATTATATTATTGTTCAAGGCCCTTAACTATCTTTTGCTAACTAGTACCAACTACCTCATATATTTTTTTCTCTACTGTTTTTTATTATTTTGCTATTCTTAACTTGCTTATATTTTATCTTGTCCAATATAAATCTGTATATACTCTAAATTCTAGTAAACAACTTATATAAGACCTAGTGCAATTACAATTGAGAGCCCTTGTGCCTTTTTTTATATCATTAGATTAAACTAAGTTGTACTATAGCTCATTCTAGCTCAATACATAGACTATACCAAAGTCATTACATTAGACCTTAGTGCAATTACAAGTGAGAGTCTTGTTCTATTTTTAATTTGTATTTTTATATTATTAGTTTATACCTAGTTGTACTTTAGCTCATTCCAGCACAACACATAGACAACACCAACTCCATTATGTGTAGTAGTGACTATACTCTAGATGACCAAAATGCTATAGCTATATACTTGTCCAAACTTCCCACCACTACAGATATCAGCACTAAAACTCAACCCACAACCAGGATATAAATAACCATAATTTAAACCTAGAAGATGATTGATCACGTTGACCCTGATCTAAACCTCCATAATCTGACACACAATCAAAACCTATTGGAAAGTAACTGCCTTTACTACACAGCATCACAAGCCAGCACTATCCTAAACAATGCTAAAAGTCTATCAGTACTTAACTACAACATCAGGTCCTTAAGCAAACACTATGATGACCTCCTGGCACTCCTTGAATCACTAAAGACACCCTTCTCCTGCATCATTCTTACTGAGACCTGGCTTAAGCAGGACATAATAGATATCTACCCTCTACCAGGATACACAGCAATCCACAACTGCAGACCATACCAAGTTGGGGTGGTTTTGCAATCTATTACTCTAACCAATTATCTTGTATTAGCACCACTTGCTTTAGTGATGAATAGGAGAATACTTTTTGCTAACTTTTACTGATATAAAAACCTTAAGACGGGGGGATAACAATCCGGATGCCATTACGAGTACCCCACACGAACATCCCAATTTCATGAGAAACTAATAAACAAACAGACAAATGAATAAGCATCAATTTCTTACTGGAGACTTCAACAATCAACCTTGGCCAACTAATTGATCAGCCTGTAAAACTGAAATTCATCACAAATGAACAACACACTTCTCCATAAACCCAACAATAACTAAACAACCAAAAAACCAGGCTCACTGAAACGAGTGCAACCATAATAGACCACATATGGACCAATATACTAGCCCCCCTTAAATCAGGGATAATCACAGATAGCACTACAGACCACTACCCTACCCTCCTCTTGACAAACATTAGTAAACCACCACTTGAATACAACAAAGTTTCATTTAGACTCCATGATGAGGCCTCAATAAGGAAGTTCACAGCTGACCTAGAGACTGTTGACTGGCCTACAGAATTCTCCAAGGCCAATGGTATTGACGACTGGACAGACATTTTTCTTAACAAATTACTTAGACTATACAACAAACATTGTCCTATAAAAACGAAACAGATCACAAACAAACGGCTTGGTTGCCCATGGCTAACCAGCACCATTCTGAAATCCATTGATAAGAAACACCAGTATGAAAAGCAATATAGACAGGGCTTAATACACAAAGATATTCTTAAACACTATTCATCAGTCCTCACCAAAGTAATAAAGAAAGCCAAACAACTATACTACTCCAGTAGATTCACTGACACAAGAGGAGATATAAAAAGACCTGGAAAACACTCTCTCAGAGTCTAGGGACCCAAAAACTGAAAAAAACCCAAGAATATTGCCCTAACTAAACCTAATGAAACACCACTACATCCCACTGACACAGCTAACAAGATAAACGACTTCTTCTCAACCATAGGTTCTAATCTCGCCAATAAAATCCCACGCACCAATGCCCATGCCGGGGACTACCTAGATGGGAATATCCCAAATTCCTTCTATCTTGCTCCAACTGAGCCCATGGAAGTCACCGAGATTATAAAGTCACTTAAAAATAACTCAGGGAATCTGTCTCATGTCCCACCATTATTGTACAAGAGAGCGGCCCATGTCCTCTTGCATGCTATCTCATTACTTTTTAACAAGTCACTAGAAACTAGCACCTTCCCGAAACTACTCAAGATGGCAAGGGTTACACCAATACATAAAGGTGGTGACCCTACAGATTTAAACAACTATAGGCCAATATCAAACTTTCCATTGCTATCCAAAATCTTTGAGAAACTCGTGCACAGGAGACTATATTCATTTATAACGGCACAAAACATACTCAACCCCTGCCAATTTGGATTCAGGAAAAATAAAAGCACTAACGATGCAATCATAAAAATGCTAGATCTGCTTTACACAGCATTGGAAAATAAGGAATATCCACTAGGAATTTTTATTGACCTAAGAAAAGCTTTTGACACAGTAGACCATGACATCCTACTCCACAAACTTGACCATTATGGTATAAGAGGCCATGCGCTTGCATATTTCAAATCTTACCTTACTAATAGGTATCAGTATGTCACCATTAAAGACACAGCATCAACAACAATACAGCCACTTGATACTGGAGTTCCGCAGGGAAGTGTCCTTGGTCCCCTGCTCTTCCTCATATACATCAATGATCTTCCAAACGTATCTCAACACCTGAACCCCATTCTCTTTGCTGACGACACGACTTATGTCTTCTCTCACCCTAATCTTGCCACCCTCAACACCATTGTTAATGAGGAGCTGATCAAAATATCGACTTGGATGACAGCCAATAAACTTACACTTAACACTGACAAAACCTACTACATTATGTTTGGTAGCAGAGCAGGAGATGCGCAAATTAACATTAAGATCGACAACACTCTAATTGCCAGACATAATGAGGGCAAATTCCTAGGCCTATACCTCGACAACAACCTGAACTTCAGCACCCATATCCAACACATAACCAAAAAAGTATCCAAAACGGTTGGGATCCTCTCCAAGATACGATACTACGTGCCGCAAACTGCCTTTCTCACACTATACCATTCACTTATATATCCATACCTCACCTATGCTATATGTGCTTGGGGTTCAACTGCAGCAACACACCTAAAGCCAATAATAACCCAAGAAAAAGCCGCAGTAAGAATAATCACTAAATCCCATCCCTGGCAAACACCCCCCCCCCCACTCTTCATAGATCTAAACTTACTCCCTGTTCAGTACATCCACACTTACTACTGTGCAATCTACATCTACAGGACCTTAAATTCCAATATTAACCTTGACCTCAAACGCTTTCTTGATAGTTGCGACAGAACCCACAGGCACAATACCAGACACAAACATCTCTATGACATTCCCCGTGTCCGACTAAACCTTTACAAAAATTCAATGTATGTCAAAGGCCCTAAAATCTGGAACACCCTACCTGAAAATTCTAAAACTGCAGACACATTCATCACCTTCAAAACTACCATCAGAAACCATCTTATCTTCCTGATACACCCTGTCAACTAATTACACGAATACCACCTGGTGGTTAACACTTACACTCACTCACCCATTTGACCATAAACAGAAATATCAATCTCAATCTCAAAATAATGAATCTTAACTAGTCATAAGTTGGCCTGTGATACTCCAATAATGAAACTATGTATAGTGCCAAATCAAAAGCATTCACATGGCTAAACTCACAAACTAGTATTTAGTCACTTAGCCATAATACCAACTTATCTCATAATTTAAGTCTTCCCGAAATGCCTTGCCATGCTAGTGGTACACTCTGTAATTATTATTTTACTACATGTAAACAATACAACAACCAAATTCTGTAAACTCAGCATTGTAATCCTTATAGAGAATAAACTTTGAATTTGAATTTGAATGTGTGAGGCCTAGTTTTCCAGATAAGGCCGTGGAGGCTGAAGGAGGCTCAGCAGTGTGGACCGCTCATCGGAAACTACAAGATTTTCTGGGTGCCTCACTTGAAGACGCCTTGCCGCTGGCTGGTGAGATGCTCTGGAGGCGCAGCCGGGAAAGAGATACACGGTTTGTCTCCTTTGGGCAGTATATTGGTCTGGCTCATCTCTAAAAGCCACCTATGGCCTGTTTCATGTAAGTCTGCCTGGACGAGTGCTGGCCCGGGTCTTCTCCTTGCGGTTACCCGGCACCACCAGTGACCGTCCTCTACTCTGGACCAACACCCAGTCAAGATAAATCCATAGTTACTTGAAAATACAGTAAAAAAAAAAACTGACAACAATGATAAACCGTGAAATAGACTCGGCGCCAAACAGAGCCGGGGAAGCCAAACACAAATAAACCGGAGATCTAAATCTGGGACAAAACTGACCCGGAAGGTCAAAAATTTGGGGCAAACAAGTGCTGTAGTTGTGTGTGCCTAATTCACCTCGTCTACCTGTCTCCTTCAGCAGGTGTTCCTCACACCTGTGTTGGCTCACGGTGCTACACATTGGCAGTTTTCCTGTCCATTTTTATTCTTTGTAAAGAATGATTCTAAGTTTTAGTAACTGAAATCTTTTGTTCATAAGTGGAAGCATGCGTAACTAATTTGAAAATAATATATATATACCAAAGAAACAGGAGTTTAGATGATGAAATGGATAATGAAAGGTAACCCATGGCAATGAGAGACATAGGGGTTCCCGGTGGTGATAGAGCAAGAGGTATCAACATTATAGTTAGAGCCAGACACACGCTCTCAACTCTCATTATTGTTCTATTTCAACGTTTAAACAACAAAGATATTCTGTATGTGTGCAATGAATTACAGTGAACAAAATGAACTTATTAATAAAAATATTATGATTAAGAAATGTGCATTGTGACCAACGGATTTGTAATAAAAATTTACGTTCGTAAATCTGTAGTGAACGTTTGCGGATTGAACGCTTTTATTAAAACAAGTTCTTGTATGAAAAACTCGAGTTAAACTGGTGGTGAACAGGTATACTGCAGCCTTAATAACCTTTGTGCAGACGATTGTCTGTAAACATGGCACACCAAGCAGTGACCTGTGTTTAAACTCCTACTGCTACACAGGTGATCAAACTGACAAGTGAGTGCTTGGCCTAATAGGCTGAAAAAAACTAGAAATACATATTGACAGTATATTAAATGTTTAAAAAAAAAGTGAAGAGCAATTAGGAAGAAAATAGTTTGTGCGTAGCTAGACTCTGCTTGACTTATTGGTAAAGATGGATAGTAACTATTTTTTGTTATTTATCGTGTTTTAAGGGAATTTTATATCACTTACATTTCTTGTAATCCATCACATTTTAAGGAATTTTTGTATCATTGATGTTTATTTATTAGTATTATTAATGAAATTTTATATTGATAAAATTAAATGCATTATATGAAAAAGCAGAAACAATTATCTGGTACATGTATTATATATTAATTTCTCATTTAGTAAAGAATCTCAGTACACTAGTGTATGAAGTACTGATAACAGTTATTGAAACTTGTTATTTAATTATACAAGACAAAATGATGATAATATTGTATACTGAAGATCAACATCAATCCAAGTCGTTTAACCTCTAATACCTACAAGTATTATAATAGATGATAGAACTGAAAACAGAACTACACTATAGGCCCCCTCGTGATGTAACTCCTGGCCCTCGGAACTGTAGTAAGCCTCCTACCTCCTTTCCTCAATAGACTTTTTTTTCCCTTCCCAGCCATAACCTCACTTCACGAAGTTTAGTTTGAGCATTCTTGTTTTCCTCTTTTAGGCAACACAATGTCCTTCTCGTGTGGAAGTAGGCAGAAGCAGCTTCCTTTTAGGTGACTCAGTATTCTTGCTCCTCAGTGATTACTCTTAGTTCTGCTTCTTATAATATTTCATCATCTTTGCTCTCCTTTCATTACAGGAATTATCAAAACAATTTGGTCCTTTATCTCGAGAAAATAAAACCAGCCATTCTTAAGAAAGGCATAACAAAGGCAAGCCAGTAGTGATGATTGGAAGTGTCGAGATGCCATCGCACAAGTGGATGTTCCTCATTTTGTTTTTCTCAATGTTGCCGACTGCCTGCTTGTCTCAGAATGATGTGAAGGCCATTAAGAATTCTAACGTTTATAGTGCTGCAGGAAATATTTCTCAGAATAACACCCACAACCACGATCACCGCTTTAGGGGCAGCTCTGAGGCTTCCTCAGAAGAAGATATCAGTGTAAGTATTTTTAAAGCTGAGAACGCATCAGGCCAAAGTGTTGTCGAAGCTCAAAACGCAGTAAACCAGAGTGTCACCCATGTTTTGAATGTAACGAATGAAAGTGCTCTTGAAAGAGGCCAAATTGTTCTTCAAGCTGTGAACGAAGAAAACCAAAGTGCTCCCAGAGCTCTGAACATAGCACAAGAAAGTGATCCCCTATATAAAAGCTTAGCTGACACCCAAACTCCTACTGACAGTTACAATGATACCACAGACTTCGTAATAGGGGTTAACGGGTGGAACTTCATGGGGATGTGGTCCAAATTCGACCTGGCACTGCTGGAAGAGACTCAGCGACCCGTTCCTCTCGTACCCGATGCTCCTGACCAAGGCGTTTTCATCTGTCAGGTGAGGGAATAATTTTTATCTTATTGAAATAAAAACATGTCAAACCTAGTTGAGGAGGAGTGGATCTATGGAAATTGCCAAATGAAGCAGTTTCAGGTACTCGTGTTAGTAAAAATGGCTCCTAATCTATAACCTTGTCTTTGTGAAAACCTCTAATAAAGGCAATGTCTGTGAGACAGCTGGAGGTTATGGTAGACCTACTAGCAGTATGGTGTACGAAGACCGGAATGTTTATATTCCATTTAAGGATAAACTCTGAGACTCGGTAACACAAACGCATAAATACGAAGATACTTATAGCAAAGCCTTTATTTAACAACGTTTCTCTCAAAGATAATTTTTTTTAAGTCGACTAGAAAATTCCTCCCAATTATCTAAAATGATGTATATAAATTCTTATTTAGAATTAATAATAAATAGATGCCGCTTGTTATATTGCCAAATGATAAAAGGTTATATGTCGTGTGAAATAGTTTTTAATGTTTGTGTACACAACCTGGGTACGTACATATATTATAATAGTTTTTAATGTTTGTGTACACAACCTGGGTACGTACATATATTATAATAGTTTTTAATGTTTGTGTACACAACCTGGGTACGTACATATATTATAATAGTTTTTAATGTTTGTGTACACAACCTGGGTACGTACATATATTATAATAGTTTTTAATGTTGTTTTACACAACCTGGGTAGTACATATATTATAATAGTTTTTAATGTTTGTGTACACAACCTGGGTACGTACAATATTATAATGTTTTTCAATGTTTGTGTACACAACCTGGGTACGTACATATATTATAATAGTTTTTATGTTTGTGTACACAACTGGGTACGTACATATATTATAATAGTTTTTAATGTTTGTGTACACAACCTGGGTACGTACATATATTATAATAGTTTTTAATGTTTGTGTACACAACCTGGGTACGTACATATATGATAAAGTAACAGAAAAATTAATTTTACTTTTAATGAAAGAATTAGTACGGCTGATCTTTCACTTTAGTATGACCAGGGTTTAAAACTCTGCAAGTCAAACACGAGATACCAGAATAATTTATATATTTACAAACATCAACAAGCACATGTGTTCAAATGAGGATGAAAGTAAAACGAACTAGTTCTTGTATTGGATGTTGACATATTTTTGAAAGCTGCTCAACAACAACTCTGTTATCATAGTCCAGTCCAGTACTTGCCTATATAATTTAAAACTAAAAATTAATAAAACTTGATTAAGTTATTAGGAATCTTTCATGGTTAAAGGTACCACGAAGGTGCGCCTTGAATTAAATCTTCTAATTTTCTTTTTCCTTTCTTTCATAACACGAGAAAGCCTCATTCGATAGGTTTCAAATTTTGAATGCTGGTGTACGGTAACTAGGACAAAATTCATGCGACTACTGGCATGTACCGGTGTCCTGTGACCAGTGAATTCTGAGCATTATTATTATTATTATTATTATTATTATTATTATTATGTATTATTAGTATTATAATGAGAAGCACGCGCTAAACCCACTAGGGACTTCCAAGCAATAACTAGACACTGATAGGCTCGGTCTTTCAGCATTGATGGATTTATTAAAAACCAAGTTTGGCATTCTTACATCGATGTGTAAATGTTAATTTCTCAGTTTTATGAAAGAAATTAGTTTTCAGGTAAGTAGAAAATGCTTCTTTTGATCATCGTCAAACACTAAATATTGGTCTATTTTAATAGTGCTGCATGACCCTAGTAGGTTTAGCGCTTCTTTTTGTTTATAGTAATAATGCTGATCTGTGTTAACTGTAGAGAATTTTCTCTTGAATTTTGACTGAGTGGGTGACAGTTTGGCAGTTTTATTGAAGTTTTATTGAAGAAATTATATTAAGTTAGAATTTCTTTAAAACAAAATTACTGTTTTTTTATAGGACTGTATAAAACTATAAATAGAGAAATGTTGATAACTAGCATCATCCACTAACTTCCTCCAAAACTTTTCTTGGTAACTTCAGAACACTTAATCAAGTTAACTTTCAATCATAGTAGATTATAACTTGAGGAAGGTTGATGGAACAATTAGCATGTACAAATGCCATCTTTTCACTTTTATGTAGACCGTTATCGATTTTGGTTTCCTTGTAACAATTCAAATTCAAATTCAGAGTTTATTCTCTATAAGGATTACAATGCTGAGTTTACAGAATTTGGTTATTGTGTGGTTTACATGTAGTAAAATAATAATTACAGTGTACCACTAGAACACCTAGCATGGCCAGGCATTTCGGGCATTACAGGTTTAGAAAGGCCACTTTTGACTGACTTGACCTGGTATGCTCAACAGGCTTATTTTCCTGCAAATCTTAACTTTAAGTTATATTCATTCCTTTATATAAAAGGAACTATGCATGCTCTGTCACTCCCTAGGTACCTTATTTAATTTCATGCATATTTCGAACAAATCAAATGCGCAATAATATATCCCCACCTGCTGTTACATCTCAGTCTTATGCTGTCTCAACCAGAGGATTTACAGCGTTCCTTCTGCCCTCAGTCACCTCTGATTTCCATGGACCCTAATCAAGATAAGTCACTTCGGCTGACATTTTGGGTTATCTTAGGCAATTTACAAATATGTTACTATATAAGACTATAACAATCCAAAACTTGTGTAAACTTGTGCCGAAATAAATCTAGTTACTTGTCCTTGTCAGATCTTATTCACCCTTGTCCTGTGCAAGAGTATCTCTGCCTCCGTTTCATCAACGTCAGATAAGTCCTCAAAACATAGCCTCTCGCTCCCCGCCCCATTTTCCCGTCAAACATCACTGTCGTTCTTAACCACCAAGACCATTTACTCCCCAGGCTCTTAACTTATTCACACCATAAAACTGTTTCTTATTCTCAGCAGAATTTGCTTACTTTACCTTATTCACTTATTTGTTCTCCCTTTGTACTCCCTCACCACTCTCAATGTCTTATTTCCCATATGTTCTACTTTCCGCATGTCATTCGTGTACTATAAAAACCTCTCGCCTGCTAACATTTTTCTTCCCACTCATTAATATTCTTCTCACTATGCCTTATCTCTCATTATTGTCCTCACTACTTCATTTCTTTTTTAAATTTTTTTTTTATATTTTAAAAATAAGTAATTACATGCACGAAGACAGCCTGGAACCGTAGACCAGCTGGACGAGACGAAGCTCGGCCACCAGGGAGAGGCTTTTTTTAAAGAATTTCAGCGTCCTGTCTTATAACTTAGCTGGTAGACTTTTTATTTATTTTTTAATATTACTCATAATTATATAGGGATATCCCTGGGTTATTTCCTTGGCTGAAATCTGACCCAGGAGAGATATGGGCTACCTTACTGACGTTTATAAAGAATAATGTACTCGAGAATCACTCGCCTAGTTCAGTTTTACTTGCTAAAAGCTACATTTATACAAGACAGGAAACTATCAGTTGTTTCACTCTGACACGAGCCCTTCCAATGGTATCTCCCAATCAACTATCATTGTTTCCTTCGCTAAATCGCATTTGGAACACTTTCTCACAACAAAGACATTAAATGCTTCAATTCAGATGATCAAATTAAAACTAACTCGCAGATGTTTTCATCATTTCCCGTTTTCTTTATAAGTGAATAAACCCGCATATTCGACAATAAATTTACGAGATTTGTATTTTGAAATTATAGGAAATATTCTAGTTAACTCAACATGTGAAGTGAGTAGGTGTAGTGTCTTCTTAATAAGTGTCAGTTACATGTAGAGTAAGAGAGAGAGGAGAGAGAGAGAGAGAGAGAGAGAGAGAGAGAGAGAGAGAGAGAGAGAGAGAGAGAGAGGCTGTGGGTGGAGAGAAGGATGGAGGTTGTTTGAAGGAATGAGTGGGTAGAGGTTATGAGGAGGGAGAGTGGGTGGCGGTTGTGGGGAGTGGGTGGAGGTTGTGGGGAGGGAGAGTGGGTGGAGATTGTGGGGAGGGAGAGTGGGTGGCGGTTGTGGGTAGGGAGTGGGTGGAGGTTGTGGGGAGGTAGAGTGGGAGGAGATTGTGGGGAGGGAGAGTGGGTGGAGATTGTGGGGAGAGAGAGTGGGTGGAGATTGTGGGGAGGGAGAGTGGGTGGAGGTTGTGGGGAGGGAGAGTGGGTGGAGATTGTGGGGAGGGAGAGTGGGTGGAGGTTGTGGGGAGGGAGAGTGGGTGGAGATTGTGGGGAGGGAGAGTGGGTGGAGATTGTGGGGAGGGAGAGTGAGTGGAGTTTGTGGGGAGGTAGAGTGGGTGGAGTGTCTGGAGAGGAAGAGTGGGTGGAATTTGTGGGGAGGGAGAGTGGGTGGAGTTTGTGGGGAGGGAGAGTGGTAGTAGGTTGTGGGGAGGAAAGAGTGGGTGGAGTTTTGTTGGGGAGGGAGAGTAGGTGGAGTTCGTGGGGAGGTAGAGTGGGTGGAGTTTCTGGGGAGGAAGAGTGGTGGAGGTTGTTGGGAGGGAGAGTGGGTGGAGGTTGTGGGGAGGTAGAGTGGGTGGAGTTTCTGGGAAGGAAGAGTGGGTGGAATTTGTGGGGAGGGAGAGTGGTGGAGTTTGTGGGGAGGGAGAGTGGGTGGAGTTTGTGGGGAGGGAGAGTGGGTGGAGATTGTGGGGAGTGAGTGGGTAGGGGTTGTGGGGAGGGAGAGTGGGTGGAGTTTGTGGGGAGGAAGAGTGGGAGTAGGTTGTGGGGAGGGAGAGTGGGAGTAGGGTGTGGGGAGGGAGAGTGAGAGTAGGTTGTGGGGAGGGAGAGGGGGTGAGGGTTGTGGGGAGGGGGATTGGGATTGGGGGGTTTGTAGGGAGGGAGAGTGGATGAGGGTTGTGGGGAGGGAGATTGGGTAGGGGTTGTGAGGAGGGAGAGTGGGTAGGGCTTGTGGGGAGGGAGAGTGGATGAGGGTTGTGGGGAGGGAGAGAGGGTAGGGGTTGTGGGGAGGGAGAGTGGGTAGAGGTTGTGGGGAGGGAGAGTGAGAGGAGGTTGTGGGGAAGGGA